GTGGTGAGTGTCTAGATGAAAAAGTGTAAGTACAAACGTAATATAGACAAAGAGAGAAAGATAGGTACTGTGTTGTATCGTAGTCCATCAGCCAAATGTTGTGTTCCAACATCTCCGATGGGATTTCTTGTGAGATTTAGTGTGGTGAGTGTCTAAATGGAGGAGTGTAAGCAAAGACATAATATAGAGAAAGAGAGAAAGACAGTTACTGTATTGTGTCGTAGTCCATCAGCCAAATGTTGTGCTCCAATATCTCCTATTCCATTGTTCGAGAGATCTAGTATGGTGAGTGTCTAAATGAAGGAGTGTAAGTAAAGACATGATATAGATAACGAGAGAAAGACATTTACTCTGTTGTGTTGTAATCCATTAGCCAAATGTTGTGCTCCAACATCTCTAATTCGATTGTACCCGAGATATAGTGCGGTGAGTGTCTAGATGAAAGAGTATAAGTACAAACATAATATAGAGAAAGAGAGAAAGACAGTTACTGTATTGTGTCGCAGTCCGCCAGCCAAATGTTGTGCTCCAATATCTCCGATTGGATTCTTTGTGAGATTTAGTGTGGTGAGTGTCTAGATAAAAGAGTGTAAGTAAAGACATAATATAGATAACGAGAGAAAAACAGTTACTGTGTTGTATTTTAATCCATCAGCTAAATGTTGTACTTCAACATCTCCGATTCCATTGTGCCGGAGATTTAACGTGGTGAGTGTCTAGATGAAAAAGTGTAAATAAAGACATGATATAGATGAAGGAAGATTAGTTGGCCATTGTTATGTGGGTTTAGATCAATGAAATAAATGTTGGTAGGACTCCATTAAAGAGCATATGGATATGAGCCTGAATACTTCTTTGAATTTAGATTGTGTACAATACTCAAGATTGTGGAATGAAGAGGTGAGTCAAAAAGAAGTTATAAAGGGTTGCGTATGTATGGAATATTTTGATCTATCAGTTGCTTTAATTCTTAAATATTTTTATGAAAGAAGGAAAACGTTAAAGGTTATAAATAATGGTCTGTAAATAGCTGTTGCGCAGAACAATTTGAAGTCTTGTATCGCCTGTGAGTATTGTGTACGTATTAGAAAAATAGAGTTCGATATTAGTAGTCTGTGGATGAGTTTCACTCATGTTTATCGACGACACTGGAGATGTGTTTTGCATGAGAAGCTCGTTTGAGTTATCTGATTTGGCTAAATTAATTGGTATGGTTTGTTTTGATATGAATATTAATTGATTTCATTAGGTGCTTTCGATGACACCATAAGATTGGGTGTGTAAAACAATATTGATTGATAAAAACGGAAGAGCTGAAGAATTTATTGGATAATGTCAGATTCGTAATGAGTGAAAGGCGAGTAGATGCTAAAACGTCGAATTATAAATATCTTCTATGAAGTATACTCGATGTTTTATTTTGGCAATGAATTACTATTGGAATTTCGTTCTTGAGAAAAATTCGTTTTAGGTGAAATGCGTTCCGGGGCAACGTTTTTGGAAAACAAATTGCTTTGGAAGTAACGTTTCTTGAAGCAATATTCTATATTGCTGCTATAATTGTAAGTCATGTAATTGAACGAGACTGTTAATGTTGCTATGAGTCAATCTATTCTCCATTCACATTCGCGATTACATATAGTCAGTCACCCATGCTCTCAGAAGAGCATTTATCGGATATATTGTTTAAATAACTTTCTGAGATGTTATTTATAACATGATAAACTAGCTAGTTTATAGATTGTTAATTTCTTTCAAAATGTTATTTTTACTATTGAAATAGTAATAAAAGTGTTTTGGATGAGACTGACATGATAAAAAAAAACTATTTTTTCTATTTATCAGGACATTATTTTTGAAAGAAATTAATAAGTGATAAATTAGTTTAAGTAACAAATAGTTTATTCACGTACATTTTGTTGAAGTGATTCTATTTGTATACAGATTGTAAGAATGAAAAATAATTTGTGAGTCAATAGACAAAAATTAGACTGTCATGATAGGAAAAGGTTTACCTGATATCGATGATAGCTGTTTAAGATCGTGTTAAACCGTTGACATACATTGCTCATTGAGCATAGCATTGTGAAACCGTTAAGATGATCCAAAATTCGGTAGACAAGTTCTACCGGTAACGTATTAAAGTTCGCGACAGTTTCATTTACCATTGTAGACTACTGATAAAATACGTGTTGTGTAACGTTTTATGTTGGTGATATGATGTGTTTGTATTTTTTCTTCCTACCTGTATGAATATATATTCGTCATGCATCATATGTTTCACATGATGTTGCAATTACTTGTTGAAAGGAAAAAACCCGAAAAAAATAACATCAGCTAGAAAATGAAAGACTGGACACAGCAACTATAGGCCACGTTTTCATTAAGATTGTCTTATTGATATCAAATGGTGTATGATAGTGAAAATCGGAAAACAAATCATAGCAGTTCGATCTCGGTATATTAATCTCGCATTTAAACGAGTATTTTCGGATGTTCTATTGCAAAAATAATCATGATATAAAATCATCACTTTGCATGTAAACATCGAGAAAGTAACAAAAAAAGCAAGAACACTCGCAAAGGACTACAGAAATGCTTTGCTTCGCATCGCAACAATTATGTCAACAACTACTTTATATTGAAAAAGACAAATCAATTTTTTCTTGGTTTAATATATCAGAACAATCGTTGAAAATTATACAAAAATATGCGTATATCTATATTGAACTTTAAGGTTTTATATCTGTTTATTTCATTTTAAAATAAAACATTGGAAAAAAATCAATGAAAATCTAATATTTATCTTTTTTTGCCATATGTTAATTATTTGTTCAAAACCTGGATTCCCAATGAATACACATATACCAATCTACTTCAATTTATTATAAGTAATTAAGTACATTAGTACCTATTAATCGGTGTCAATCTATAATTATATATTTGTTTGTCTTGATGTATAATAAAATTTTATAAATTATATATAATCGACTTGCAAGAAAAATCAAAGAATGATTTTCTCATGTAACTATCGAATGAAAAATCATTCTAATAGACTTATTTTCTAGATAAAAAAAAGTCAATTTTCAGCAACTAGTCATTAAGATTTATTCATAAAACGTTTCATTTAAAGGAATTCTACAAAACATTAATTTAGTAAATGATTCACTTATAGATTCAACCTTGAACTTTGATAATATATGCGTTCAGAGGAATGAAAAATGCATTATTTATTTCTCAAGATCACAACATGTTCATTGTCACCATTACATAGTTATTAGATAAGAATTATTATTCTACAATTCCACTTTTAATGATCGCATACTTTCCGAAGCAAACTGTTTTTTTTAATATCCAGAATCAATTTCTATATTCGATATAAATATATCTCACTATTAAATTGAAAGACAATCCAATGTCTCATATCTGAAATTGTAGATAAAAAAACATATTAATATCTGTTGATCTCTCTTTTAGCAATGTCAAATAGAAAACTGATACTATTTATTTTGTCCTATTAGGAAAGATCATGTGAAATATTACTTTTCTATCACACATATCATAGATATTCTATATCTTCTTTTTTAAATATTAATGTGTTGTAGTCATACAATGAAATAATATCAATGCATATGTTACAGAGACATAATTATCATATAATATCATATTTCTGATCTTTAAAAAACTTTTGTTGAAAGAGAAATACATATTCTATTAGCTTTTCAATGTTAAATAAACTTGTCACTATTAGTTTTACATAGAGACAAAAGAAGACGAAGAAGAATATACCCAGTTGATGCCCATGAATTCTCTTTCTTTTATGTTGACTTATGTGTAGAAATAGAACATCATGAAACGAGAAGTAAATTGCTCTACTTGGTTCTAACACCTGAGTAAATCTTTCATGTTTAATAGTAGAAAAAAATTTCTTTTTTTTTAATTTTAACTTGTCCCTGGTTTATATTTCTTGTTCTCTCTCAGATCATATTTATTCTTAAATATAAATCTGGACATACCGCTACTACTATTACTAATTCTTGTCATCAGACAAATAAGATGACGATGAAATTACGTGATATGATTAGAAAAATAAAGAAGAAGAAGACAAGAGAGAGAAGGAGAGTGAATGAGAGAAAATGATGCTTAATAGCATTAAGACATTGACGCAATAAAAAAAAAGTGAGCAGGAAAAAGAAAGGAACGGATAAAGAACTTCATTTTCTCAATTTTAGAACAAGAAGAAGAAGCAATATGTCGTTGGCCTTACATGGACATCATATTTTATTAATCGCTACGTTGGCATTTACCACAGCTGTGCTCACATTAAATTGGTATGAGAATTCTGAAAAGTCTATACATATAAACGTTTTTCAAATATGTTCAAATTTTTCAACATTAAAAACATGTCGATGGATTTTCTCTATTCAATCAGTTAAATCATCATTTGAAGAAAGTAAATAATAGAAAAATCTTTTCTCCAATTAAAATCTAAATGAATCTATTTATTTAAGTAAAAATAATATCTTTGATTCTAACTGCTTCGTTTGCTATTACTTGTGTTGGTATAAGTTTAATTGGTCTCTTACTTGGTTCTTGGTATATACAACGTCGTGGGCATGATAATGAATCAAGATGTTTAATTGTTCTTACTATGCTTATGAATTTATTAAGCTGTACGTTATATTTTAGTTTTTGATAAAAATTCTTTGACATGAATATTATTTTTATTTAGTTTTATTTTCTTGCGGTGTTTGGACAATGATGTTAACAACAAATTTACAACAAGAAAATTTTGGAACAACTGATATTCGTCTCAAAGATTTTGGCTTTTCATTTTGGATTAATATAGGATCATCTGTTTTATATTTATATGCACTTATCATTTATCTCATTGCTATATGCAAAAATTGATAAATCGTCTGACATAAACATAAATATCCGTCCGATAATAAAACTACAGAACTTCTTTTTTCTTCTTTCTTTGAGAATCATATCTTTGATATCATAGGAAAGAAAACTATTGAGAATATTAATTAATTAGTAAATTTTATTGATTATTAGTCATAGCAATAAAAAAAGAACAAGGTATATAGTATATGTATTATTTAAAATTTTTCTCTAAGACGATGTACATGCAATTCCATATTATTATTACGTCGATATATTATTAAAAATGATGAAAACATTGTTATAAATGATACTAAATAACCAATCGTTGAAACAATTGCTAACCATATTGGCCAATTAAATCTACGATGATTAGCTGTAATACCAAGTCTATATGTTTCTGATATAAGTAAGGCCCATACAGACAATGAAGCACCAACTATAAAATATAGTTGAAAATAGATAAATGATAAATTAAACATGATTTTATTTCGTTTTCTTACCGATAATAAAAAGAAGAAGACACATGAATAATAGATATCGTAATTTTTTTTCATTATGTCGACGTAGTTGAAAATAAATACCTGATAAAAATAACATAATAATACTAAATATAACACAAATAATAGCCATTGATGCACATCCCAACGCCAATCCTATAAAAATGATCAAATAAATATTAAAAATAATATATAACTAGAAATATTTCATACCATATATCCATCTTTCTGGTTCAGTTGATGTTCTCTGTTGTATCATGGGCACACATTGTTTTGTTTCGTAAGTGCTATTACTTGAAAGTACATAGCATATAGAAAATATTCCACGTTGTACAAGAATGACTTCATTTGATTCTAATTTTGTAAATGTTATCCAATTAGGAGATAAAATAGCAAAAAAGAAAAGAAAACTAGTTGGTAAAAGCCATAGAAAACTAATAAGAAAAAACATAATGTTTGCTTTGTATTAATATAAATTTGTAGTTTGGTTCAATTAATAATGTATATGAGAATAACGTAATACTACATCAATATCTGGAAAAATGTTATGATTTGGTCGTCTCGAACGAAACAGAATATATATATATATTGAAGAATAAAAAAAACGAAAATCATAGATGACATGATTGAACTGTTCTTTCTTCATGCGTTTCTTTTTTTTCTTCTTTTGCTTTCATATTCAGTACCTATATTCATATTATTTAAAGGTCAGTTTCGTAACTGCATTTGTAATCAGAAATAGTATAGAAGTGGTATGGTAAACAATCTTCAGAAGAATAAGAACAGCTCTCGTCCATTGCTTTTGTTACAATGTATTTTTAATCAACCTTTCGAATGTGATTGTTGAACTGCATATATTTGTGTTCAATTAATCGATTCGTTACTCGTACATAAATACACAAGAAAAATTACTATTTCGAACTTCTAGAAGAAAAGCTAATAGCACAACTCTTATAGTGTTAAAATATGCTGAATGTATCAGTATAAATCAAGAAGAGCAAAATCATCGGAGCATGATAGCTTTCATTAAGTTTATGAATCGATATTGTTAATGCTATAAAGAAGCAGTAGTATACAGAATTTTATTTAATTTCAAGATCTTCTCGTTGTACTTTTGTTAATATTTTAAACATATGTAATATATGACAAGTTTAAAGTTCATTAATGTCATTCAACAATGAAACCTTGCTAAGATGTTCGTCACGGTCAAGAACTATTTATTATTACGGTGTGTGTCACAGTTTATGACGATATCTGTATCAATCTATGAAGTAATATTGAAGAAATAGGTCAATTTTTTACTTTTAAAATTTTAACACACTTCAGTTTTCGTTCGCCTAAATAATTGTAAGACTTCATTAAGTATCGCAAATAGTATAAAAATTAATAATTGTACAGCCAAAAAAAAGACCAACTTTAGATATTCATGCTTCAATATCAAACATAAACAGCATCACAACTAGTCAATATAACCTATAGAATCAAATTCAGTTCGTACATTTTATTTGCAAAAGAAAAATAAATAAATATTGAATGATACCCTTTAATAGTAAAAGCATCAAATAATAAATTACATGTTAAAGTTTCTAACTATGTTCGAAATATATTTTCAAATAAACAATCAAAATTAAATCTTTATAATATTTTTAATCATTATTGGAAATTAAAAGAAAAATTTAGTAAATAGAAAAGAAAATTTCATTTCGACGTCCTGTTTGAATAGAAAGAAACAACGAAGATATTTCTTTGAACCCTCGATAGAATAATGAAGAAAGTATTATGCGATACATTTCATCCATTGCCTACTGTGAAATCGATCGTTCGGCGAACATCAGTCAAATAAGACTATACATACATATATCTTCTTTATTCAATCTATACAAGAAACAGAAAATTTATAAATACCCTGATCGTTACCATTTTTCTTTTATTTATTTCTTACTCGTCAGACGTACTTATCAGACATCAAATGATGTTTAACAGTCGGTATTTTAACTTCTTTACGATTCTTGCTATAACAAGTGTAAGTTCAATATTGAAACAAAATTATCGATCATTAATTTTCATGTTTTTTTACTCTATAGTTCTTATCATTAACAAATGCAGCATTCTGTAGTAATTTAACATCAACTAATGATAAAGATACAGCATGTTTTCTTGAATCAGCAAAACTCAATCCAGCACTTTTACGTACATCAAGCAGTAGTTTAATTTTACCTTGTCATGTTGCTCGTTCAAAACGTAAATAGAATATAAAATGAATAATTAATATTTTTTTTCTATTATTATTATTTTTTTTCTTCTAACAATCAAGGTGCAACTGTTGAATGGTGGTATCAAGATTTTCTTAAAACGATAAATATTAAAATTTATCCAATGTATCCAACTGTTCGTCCAACTGTCTTTCGTTTCATTACCAGTACTCCAGTATCATCACCTGGTGCTAATGAAACAGATCTTATTGATGTATCAATTTTATTACGACATGTTAATGTTGATGATAGTGGTATTTACCGATGTGTTATTCGTTCATGGTCAGATGCTCCAATGACAAATATTGAAGATAACTTTTGGGAAGAAAATCCAACTTTACCAACACTTAGTTATCATGTTGAATTATCTGGTTCGTGTGAAGACTTATTAGAAAAAATATATAAAGTAATTATTTCTTATTGAATAATAGGCCCTCGAATTTGTCAAACCGAATTTGATAAATCACCATGCTTTCAAAAGACACGCACAACTTCACCAGCTATAATTAATGCTTATCAAGTAGCATTCCTTCAATGTGTTGTACAAAATAAAAAACGTAATAAATTTATTTAATCAAATATTAATATTCTTTTAATTCCTTCTTCTTCTATTTAGATAAAGTATTTTGGGTTCTTGGTAATGCCACTGAAAACAGTGCTCTTATTATTGATCATCTTATCTCAAATCAACATAATGGTGATCGACTTCGTCGTTTATTTCCAACTTCACAATACGATTATTCCATTGAATTAACAGTTAATAACGATACACGTGAACGAACATATTCATGTGTTATTGATCGATTTGGTGAACTTGAAGCAACACTTTTCACTTATATCATTCGACCAATCAGTAAATTAATTTACTAATTTTTTTTATTTATTTTTTTTCGTATATTCATATAGATCTTGAAACTATTACTGATCGAACTATTAAAACTCATAAGAATGCAACAACACCAATGAAAGAATCAGAAAAGAAAATTGAAAACATTATTCCCCATGATGCTTTAGCTCCACAAGAAATTGATGAATTGCGAGAAAAGAGTACACATGAACATGGTAAATAGATTGAGTATATGGTTTTTATTTCATTTCATTTGAATTTTTAGTTAAATCAACAAAGCACGATAACGATAACGATGATGACGATGATACTGATTTACCCGAATTTTATGTAAAACTTTCTTGATTAAATTTATTCTAATTATTTACTCTTTTCTTTTCTTTTTTATTTCTAGCGACGAGAAGAAACATCAACCAAAAAGAAATAAATAGAACTGTGTTTTAGTTTCATTTTCATTCTTGTATTTCTTTTATTTTTCTCTATTTCGATTTATTTATATACAACTTTTATGCAATAAACTACTAGTTCATTTCTATTTACAATTTCATTATCGATAAAAAATATTAATCATCTATTATACTGCATCATATTGAATATATAGGTCTGCAGAATATCTAAGATTTCGTGTTTTTTTTCTAATGAATAATTGAACATATGGAAACAAAAATTTCGAAATGAATCAAAAGAAAAAAGAGTGGGTGATTTATTTTGAAAGTTATTGTTTTTTGTTTTTGAATGACGAATCGATGCTAAAGATCTGCCTGGACAAATCGATTTTCTTTTCCTAGATGAGTACTTTTATAAGTCGTTGAGAAATCTCATTTGCATGTTAGTCGTTCACACACATGCAACAAAACATCGAGATAGTCTTTTTCATCAATCTCCCTTAAGTATTTTTTTATGTTTCTTTCCTCATCCTTCTTCGTTATCATTTGTTGTATACAAAACAATAAGAAAAAGAAAATGAGAAGTTAGTTCTTGTAGATGATTAGCATAGATAGAAATATATATGTACCTTTACTTATTATCTATGAAAAAATGATAAGATGATTTTATTGTATTTGTCAATAATCTTTGGTCATGTTTTTCTCCTATTGTTTTCGTGTCTAGGTTATTGTGTGTGTGTATGAGAAAATAATGCTACTAAGAGAATTGATCTCCGAGGAGTTCTCTTTACTATTTTTTCCTCTCTCTCTCGCTCTTTGACTTTTGTTTTATTCTATTACTTTTCCTGTTATGAGTACACGTATTTTGTATTGTTAAACAAAGCACAAAACATAATCTTTGTTTATATGAAAAATGGTTTATTTCTATAGACTACCTATTGATTAATGTAAGTCGAATTCTGGTTTTTTTCCTTCCCTTCTATCTAGTCTAATTATAAAATAAGAGCAAGAAAGATTGATGAAATATTTAATATGAAACGACTGTTAAACAAGATACACATATAGGTTTGTAGTTTTTTTTTGTTAAATTTAAACAAAACTTACTGTTAATGTTATATAAATAATTTTTTTTTTACTTTTATTTATATGTCATATGTCTGAATTTCTATTTCTTCTAGTTAGTGAATGTTTCTTAAAAATTGCATATTATTTATTCATGAATGTAAAATGTTTTAAGAAAAAGAATACTACTATGTGTTTTTAAATATGCATACGTGCATGACAGGTTATTAGAATAAGTTACTAATCTACCTTGAATTATATAGTTTTTTTTTCTTAGCAAAATAATACTATTATGAATATATAATAACGGTCAACATTTAAAAAAAAAACGTTGTAGTATGATGTGTAAAATTTTTATTTATTTTATATAATTTGTTAGATTAAAAATCCGATTGTATTTTATTCCATCATTGTTCATTTCCTTTTTTTCTTTTTGTATTACATTCTCGATAGATTGTCGAATAAAAATCATCGCTTTTCATGTCTTAATATTACTGACATGACATTTGACTGTAGGCAATAATTTAAAGGTCGACAATAATCAGTAAAAGGAACATTAGTGATTTAGTTATAGATAGATAATAAAGTTTATTCAAGATTTATCAAATGAATTATTGTTCAAAAGGAAAACAAGAATTATATATATAGGGATTTGTTCAAGTAGAAAAATGTGTTAGAAAGAAAAATTTTGACTTGTTTTACGCATCAATATAAAGACATAAATATTCAAGAAACTATGCCACTATAAGCGTTAAGACCTAGATAGGATGATTATTTAAAAGATTACATCGTTTTCTTTTACTTTTATCATCTAAAAAAGACAGTTGAAAGAAACTAACTGTGACGATTTGTAGTCTATAGTTGATGACATCAAAAGAAAAATATGGGCATACAATGAGAGAAAGAAAAACGACTTCCGTTTTATATATATTGTAGCTTCAACGTGCGTTTTTGTCTGTATGCAAGTTTGTTCGTTAGTCTTATTTTGTCTCCCTTTTCTTTTTTTTCTGTTTTCATAATAGCTTGTTATTGTCTTCTGTTCATGACAGTTTGTTCATGAACGTGTGTGATGAGAATGCATGTGAGTGTGAATGAAAATACAAACTTTGTTCTGTCATGCGTATTTCCGAAATCGACACTCACTAACAAATAAATACTTTTGCTATTATGTGAGATTTTCTCATTTAGTTTTCATATTCAAAGGAAGCACACACACACACACATGTGTGTATATATAAACATGTTTGTATCATCACGACATAGAATTCATTGAATTGATGATACTGCTTGACTGACAAAAAAGAAGACTAAATTCTTTTCTCATTTGTTTAATTTAATATTATTTCTTACAAACAAATAAATTTATATCAATTTACTATTGTAAATATAGGAAGAATTTATGTGATAATAGAAGTAGAGAATATATTTTCTTTTTCTTTAAGTTATATCAATATATTAATAGAAAAAATACAAAATATAGAATTGTTAAAAGAAAATTAATTGAATTTCATGATAATTGTTTCCTTTTCTTCTTATTCTTATCTTTTGTTAATGCAAGGTGTTTTTTTAATTGGAAAAGCATTGAAAAAAAAAACATAAAGCATAGTCAGCTTATAAGAAAAACTCAACTAATATTAATTTGAAATAAAACTTTTCTCATTCCGATATAACAAAAATCTTATTAAGAAAGATTGCATATTGATATATATTATATGAGTAAAATTAGATTGTTGATAATAATGATGATTTATAATATATAAATGCATTTAGTCTTTATTTTGAATGCCATGTGAGAAATTGGCTGTGTATATACTCGAAGAAAAAGCTAATCCGCTCGAGAAGACATATATGGATTAGAAGGTCTTTTGCTTTTTATTCTAACAAGCCTCTTCATCCAACAACTACTTTGATGTCGGGAGGTCTTCCATTCCTCTCCACTGACGATTACTTTAATTGACTCTGTCTTTTCTCTGTTCTTTTTTTTTTGTTCTTTTTTTTCCTTAAAAATCCCACGTCACGAACATTCTTATTCCTGTTATTCTTATATTTTTCTTTGAAAGTTGTCTTATTATTCGCATTCTCTCATTATATAGTCTCTATATCGATCTCTTTGTCTTTAACAATATAACGATTTTCAAGTTACGAACCATACTATTATTGTCATTATTACGATTAGTCAACGATGATATACTATTGACAGGAACACTGTTCTATTGCGTGTGTGTATTTATATATGTGTATGTGCGTGCTCAGAAAAAAATGCAAGCTTGTGCACCGCCTATCAACATAGTCAAGCTGAGCGAGATATAGACTGATGGAGACATAGAGAGACTCAAAAAGAGAGAAGAAGAAGAAGAGAGAGAAAAAAAGAATGCCTATAGTCAATATAATTAGAACGAAGTGAGTGAGAATGCTAAACAGAAAAAAAAGAGAAAGACAACTAGTAGAAATAAAACATACTTTTCCTTTTTTTTTGAAGATATACTTGAAACATATATATATATGCAGAACACTAGATTTATGATCACGTAGAAAGAGAAACAGAGATCATTTTCGTTCTTATATATTATTGAACGATAATCTACTTCAAGATCGATCCATTTAATCTCACTTACTATGTTATTTTATATTACTAGTTATAGTACTATGATATATAAATCGAAAAATAAGAACATAACTCACTAGAATTGTTTTTCATTAATAGTTCATTTCTATTGTTTATTACAGCTATAAAAACTAGTGTAGTAATCAGCTAGTAAATGCCATTACTGCATGTTAATGACATTGTCTATATTTATATGCGCACAAAGAAAAAAATTTATAATGAGAAGATATATGTGATCAATCATATGAGTTCGTTTTTTTTTTGTATTTTTTTAATTATTTTTTTTTTGTTCTCAATTTAAAATTTAGAAAAAAAACATATGTAACATAATCATTATCAATGGGTACACCATATTATTATCAATCATTGGGTTCATCACCAACACCATATATAACTAATGAAAGCAATAATGCTGATAATAGTCCATATACTATTGATCATCCAATACATTTATATGCATATGTTACCATGTGGATTATCTTATTAGTAACAATTATATTTGGTACAATAGGAAATATTCTTGTACTCTATGTTTATATTAACCGTAAAGATAAGAAAACATGTACATTTTTTATAAAAATATTAGCAGTTGTTGATTTAATTATATGTTTCATTTTGGCACCTCTTGAATTATATCATATGACAACAGGTAAAGTTAATTATTTGTCATAGACATATATATTATAATCAGAGTAAAAAAAGATATATTTCAATTTTCAAAATGATAGTTTCTTTTTAATTATAACAGAAAAACAAATTGAATATTTCGAACTAATACATAGTCTTTAAGAAAACTATTGAGAAAATTCTTGTTAATTTCTCAATAAATAAATAAAAAAATGAAAGAAAAGAATCTTAACAGATTAAAATGACAGATTAATTTTAATATAGGTATTCGAAATGAATTTTTATGTAAATTTTATGGATTTTTATCAACACATGTATTATATTCAACTTTTCTTATAACAACAATTGCATTTGATCGATATTTTTGTATATGTTGGCCATTATATAAAATTATTACTATACGTCGTGCACATGTTATTGTTATTATTTGTGGATTATTATCATCTTTATTCGGTATTAGATTTTATTTAATAATAAAAATATAAATTTCTTTTCTTTCTCTTCTTAGCTATTGTGCCTATGATTGAACATTCAACAAAGGAACATATTTTACAATTACCATATAATCATTCTGATGCATTGTCAGAAATATCTTCTGATGGTATGAATCTAGCACCTTATAGACATGTTGAACAGATGAAATCACCTTCAACATTGCCATTTCAATTGGTGAATACAACAGATGTTAGTTGTGGTATAAGATATAGTTTTAGTAAGTTAGATATTTTCATTTGAAAAACTATATTATATTCTATTTCGCAATAGAACTTCAATTTCCAAAATTTACTACTTTTTATCGATTATTTCATACTGCATTATATGCTACATGTATATTACTTGTATTTATTCTTTATACATTTATTTATAATGCTGTTTATCAACGTCGTGTAACACGTACAAGAAAATTATCTGCTTATCGTCGTATTATACGTTCTTATTTAATGAATGAAGAAACTGAACATATAGATACACAATCAACAAAAAGTGGTCGTTCCCATCATCATCATCACCACCACCATCATCATCACGTAGAAGATTCACCATCGTTATTTACACTTCTTTGTTGTTATTGTTGTCAACTAAGTGAAGATTATGGGAATGATTTTAAACGACCATCAGAATCGGCATTTAATGTACCATTAAATGAACGACGACGACAATCACATCATCGTCATATGCATGATGAACCATCATCAGTTATAATACATCATAATAGAAATAAGCCACAAGTTGTTTTAGAAGTAAATGGTGCACGTGGTAAACGTTATTCAGCTATATCAATGACATCTATGACATATTTAACAAGTGGAGTTTGGGATGAAACATCTCCAACAAATTTAATACGTTCAAGAATTAATTCAATAGCTGCAACAACTTATTGTGGTACTGAACAATCATCAACAGGACGACCATCAACATCAACTGAAGATTCAATTGAACAAGCATCTAAATTACTTACAGTTAATAATACATTATCACCATCAAATTCAATACATCTAACTGTTCCTGGACTACAGGCAACAACAACAACAACATCGACATACGTTGAAGTTATTAATAATGATAATCAATTAAATGATGATGAATCACAAAAAAGTATGTCACAATCTACAAATTTATTACATCCATCTTATATACGTAAACCAAGTAATACATTATCTATTCGACAACAACAAAGACCATCAGATGCATCATCAGTTCAACAACGAAAAGTATCATTTAGTATGTATTCTAAAAGATTATTTTATTTAGTTTGATCTCAATTTTTTTGTTCTACTAATTAATAAATAAAATGTATTATTCAAGGTTATATAGATAATATTGTGGCAAGTTTCTTAAAGAAATAGTTAATAATTAGTAATGTTCATCCAAACATGAAAAGTGTCAATTATGGTTTTACTCTCTCTCTCTCTCTCTCTCTCTCTGTCTCTGTCTCTTTCCCTGTCGTTTCTTTGTCGGATAAGAAGGGTTGTATACATGAATGAGACCTGACATATACCCCATATGACACTTCTTATTTGAACTACTCATCAAAAACGGATGAGTGACTCTGTTGGGTTCTCTCTTTTTCTTTTTTAAGTAATTACAGATAACAGTAAGAAGTCCGGAAATTCTTTCATTTCTTTATATCAATAGTGACATCCCCTGGAATCGTTGATCGATGTATTAGTGAAAATGTATCAAGTACCTATCAACGAGCTAGTCTAGCTCCACCAAATTCATCATCATCACAACAACAACAATTAACTGTACATATGAATGATCATCGTTCATTATCAACAACATCATCCATTGATCCTACAGATGCTTCTATGAGAACGTTTTCTATATCATCTACACGTCGTCCTTCAACATTTGATTCTGAAACACAACGTACATTTGAAAGGCAACAAACACAAGAACGTTTAGCAAATATAAGAACAACATTTACGTTATTTATTGTTACAGCTACTTTTATTATTATGTATTTACCATCAATAATTCATTCATTATTTGCTATTAAACCACATCATTTTCGTGATGTTTTATTTTTACTTTGTTATGTCAATAGTGCAGTATGTATATTTATAAGATTTTCTATAAAAAAAATGAAATATATAATTATTTTCTTTTCACTTATTCTAGTGCAATCCACTAATATATTCTTTTTTTAATGTTAATTTTCGTAATGATATTCGTCGTATATATGAATGTCAAAAACGTGAATATTTAGCTCGACGGTATTAAAACAAAAAAAATTTTGAACTTTGTTTTTATTTGTTTATTGTTATATGTTTTTTTTTCTACAGGCAAAAAGAGAAAGTAAAAAGACAAATGAAAATGTGAATAAAACAAAAAAAACACTTGTACGGTCGGTTAAATTTAAAATGAATATTATTTTTATTTATTTTTCTTTTTTTTTCTTGTCCTTGAAAAAAAAAAAAAAAGAAAGAAATGACAAAAAAATAATATGTTTTACCAGTGCACATAAGAGTCATCATGATTATGTTTATACTCTTAAATAAATATAAGAACAAGTATGATTACTTGAGACGGCTCTGTGACAAGTACTACCATATGAAAACTTTGAAAAGAAATTCAATATGATAAAAGAAAGAAAAAGACATGTATTCGTTGGTTTTAAGAACAATTATTATTCAAATAAACATAAATTATAATTGAAAAGTATGAGAAGAATAGGAAGTGGTATCATGTTTAGAAGAAATTAATCATGTGACTAGAGATAATATGTTTTCTTTTCATAATGTCAATGATGTAAGTTTATTTGTCTCTTTTTTTATCGTATAGCAATTGGTGTACGATTAGAATAGAGTGATGCAGGTGCAAAACTATCGAAACCATTTTGAATACCTTTGTATTTTGGTAAAGTATCAAGAAATGAACAAACTTGTCTTTGTAGAGGTGTTGGTTCTGGTAGATTAGGACTTGATATTTCTTCAACTAATATTGTAAATGGTTCATTGGAATTTTCTTTGGATCGTTTTGTTTCTTGAAAATTTGTCATCCAATGTTGTGTTTTACTTTTACGTTTTTGTCCAATTGATATAGTAGCTTTGACCATTGGAGGTAAACGTTGACTTTTTGTAGAATATCGTCGATGTCTCATTGACATATATGATGATGTATCATCATCAAAATCATCCATTTGATTTTGACTCATATTACTACTAGTACTACTTGATAAACGACGTTTTTGATTTGAATTATTATTATTATTAGTAGTAGTAGTATTATTTCCAATATTACATACTTTATGATAATCAATTGATTCTGTTCGTTCATTATAAATATTATTAAATGGAATAGATATTTTAGTTCGATTATTATTTGATATTTGTTCATTATCTCGACGTATTGAATTTTCTAATTTTTGATATGTTATTAAATTTTGTATATGTTCACGTTTAATAAATGATAATTCACGTGTTAATAGAAGATCATAGTGTCTAACACGACTTTGAACATTTGAATTAAGAAACATAATAAGATATATAAAGATCAATATACGTGTATTTAAATCTATATGCTTTAGTACATCAATGAAGAAAGAAAAATGTTTGAAAAACGAAAGTGAAGTGATTGTGTGCGTACGTATGGATGCGTATGCTTTGGCAAATATAAACAAATAGTCGTAAGAAAGAATAAGAAGCGAACAAAAGTGGATGAAAAGATATATTCTCAGCTCAATTTCAACGTCGTCACCAATGTTACCATACATACCACAAACGATAAACATAAAGGCAACACACAAAGGCTAATCAAGGTTAGCAGATACTCAAATATTTCCATGGGTTAGTGAACATAATATATTTCATAACGAAACAAAGAACGTATCAACTCATATGATTTAAATAAGAAAGGTTCGGTTTATATAAAATTCGAAAGAGAAAAAATTAGTAATTGAACATAATCAGATTGTTAATATATATATATATATATGAATACCTTTATTTCAATAAATTTGAATATTAATACTATATAAGGTATCATCAAATATAGACCGATGATTGAATGTTTTGTAATATATGATTATGAGAAAATTTTCTTATAACTATATAATTCAATCATTTAAATGTACTTGTAAGGTATTTATAAAAAATTGCACTAGTAAAATAATATGAAGATCTTCGAGTAGAAAAATCTCATGTATCATATTGCAGATTAACATCTTATTACATTCTCTTCAATAAGGACAAAAAAAAGCTAAGTAGAAAATATGCAATCATCTTGCATATGTCATGATTCATCAATGATATTTCATCAATTCTTATGAACAAACATATTTTCTCATAATCGAATAAAACAAAAAAGAGGTTATTACATCTGAAGCATGTAATTTTACGTCGTTCTTAGTCTGCTCATATATTTTCAAATAAGATTTCGATCAATGAAAAACTAATCATATCTTACAAGTCTTATTTGTTTTTATCTCAACAAATGTATCATTAACTAACTTATATGGTATTGATTAATTACATACAAAACGTGAAAACAACTGAGCTGTAATATATCATCAGTTATAATAATGTCCATTATAGGGGAGAAAGATTGATTAAAAATAGATTATTCAATATGTGTTTGAAAAAGATAGAATAATCAGATATTAACGTATATACTGTTGATATTTCATTAAATAGATTGCGTATACTAAGACGGTTTTCTGCAAAAGTAAGTCTCAATCGAATAAACTGATAAAACCTTTCTCTGTACATCGTTAACGAGTACTTTTTGAAGAGAAATAATTTATTAGTATATAAATAATGAAGTCTTTAATTAATGTGAAATTGTATTAATAAAATAAATAATTGATAATATAGTATATAGTGTAACTGATAAATAATTTTTTGTATATATAGCGTCATCTGTTGAATTGAAAATGATATTAGCCAATAAACAATTATATGTATAGAGAATGATGATTCATCAACGTTGTTCGAGACAAAAGCTGTGTTGGATAAGCGAGTCTCCTCTCACTCTATAAAAGCCCAAGTAAAAACACAAGCAAATAATACAAATGCTTCTTCAAAATTTGATTTACGAACAACAGTCAAACTGTTGCTGGTTTACGTCGATTTTGAAAATTTTCTTCTAGATTTTTGACATTTATTTCTCATAAAGAAGAATGACTTCCAGGTATGTAATGATAATATTTTATTTCTTTTCTTGAAACAAAAGAAATAATTTTCTATATATTTAAT